CATCTCCAGACAATGTTTCATCTCAGAAGAAAACAAATGGAGTCCATGAAAGAGAAACACTTCCACTACTTCCAATTCAAAGTTGAATTTGGTATTCAGCACCCTGAGAGATCTGCCTGTTTACTCCCAGGTGCACAAACCAACTTAGAAAAGTAAAGAACAGTTTGCAGTAGCCAATAGACTCCAGAAAGTCTCACCTGACATTCACCAGCAAGGCAAAACAGAGCTACAGCAGCTCTATCATCCTATGCCACACACGGCCCTTTAACCTTGGCTTTGAGCAGCTCGCACTGAGGACAAAAGGAAAGCGCACAAAGCTCTCTCAGGAGTCAGTTCTGGTATTACCTTCTCTATTAGTCTTTTCCTGAAAATAATCTTCTCTGCTTTTTCTCCTGGGAGGACTTGATAGGTTTCTCAGGGGTAGATTTCATACCTGATGTAGGTGCTGCCTTAAACTGCAAGCTGGAAATAGGAAGATGACACCAGTTTGCATAAAGAGCATGACAGTCCCTTTGCAGCTTTTACAAACCAGCTCGTCTTGCCACAGAGCTAGCTTAAAAGTACTCTACAGTCCATTGTTTTGAAAAGCAGCACATGCAACACCCTTGAGGACTGTCGTAGGAGAGCAAGTTACAGAGCAAGGGGGCCTGGTGCCTGAAGAGGTAGGAAGGATTCCATCCCACTCCTCCAAGGTCTTGCTACCTTTACTGTTAGGAAGTTGAGTCAAGCACAAATCCTCCTTGCTCCAATTTGAGACCATCTCTTGCCTCTTATTCAGAGAGCACCCAGAACACATGCAGTTCTCTTGCTCTCCAGTTTGCCAAGAGCATTTTCAATTTGGATTTTACCCTGCACTCACTTGCACATCCTCCCTGACTAACATTATAGCATCTCTAAAGAGGGAACTCCATTACCTGGGCCGTGAACGGAGATACTTTGTAGTGCTGGACCCAAAACCTACCGTTGCTGACTCCACTACAAATAAATAGGCTTTCCTTCTGCCAATAAATCTGTTTTCCTATACACTTTGATCCAAAGAAGGGGGCATTTAGGATACATTTTAGTCAATTCTCGCAAAAGACATGGGACTTTCACAAACAGATATGGATCCAATGTTCAAGTGAACTGTGAGCCATTCCATTTCAAAGAGTCTTTCTCAAATAACTTCATGAGCTGCACACAAACCCTACCAGCACATACTACCCAGCATGAGCTATGAAGCTGCTCACTTCACCAGCCAGTGACTGCAGAAGATACAGGCAGTGATACAGGCAGCTCATCAGTAACCACAGTCCCTTGGTTCTGCAACAGAAGGCAGGAAATGACCACCTGACCCCTTCAACGGCAGCAAGTAGCAGAGCCCAGAGACAGACCTGTGTAGAAACCTAATCAGAAGAGCTACAGAGCAAGGTGACAAGCGTGATCAAACATATACAGCACCTTTTATACCAAGATGAACCTGACCATGGCCCTCTTCCTTGACGCAGAGGGCTGAACACACCCAGCAGGTGACAGAGGCATAGAAATTCCATACTGGCAGGGAGAAACAAGGTGACAGATCACTCTCTAGTTCTAACACTCTAACTCAGAGGCATCCCAGGCAACTATCACATATGAGTTCTCAAATAGGCACCAGAAAAATTTCTGTCCAGCAGAGTGAAACTGCTGAGCTGCCTATTACATAACTCCAGCCATGGCCAGAGTACAACTGCATTCAAAAAACAGTGTAATCGTTAGGAGCTGCAGACACCAACTGGCACCAAGCAATGGATTTCCTGCAGGTGGGGAAGGAAGGGTACCAACGTCAACTGGCCTGGTTCTCCTACCCTTTCCCTGAGCATTCACAGACAGGATACTGGCTGGATCGACCCTTGGTTTTGACTCAGCACAGCTATTCTCCAGGTCTTATGTGTTGCCGAAATGACTGACTGCACAAGAAGAAATCTGTGGAGCACCTGAGCATACACAACATTGAGGCCAAGTGGCCAGATAAGTCATGGCTCGCCACTGGCCACCAGTTCAATAGCTATTTTGAAATACTATCAAAGCACTAGTTGCAGCACCCTTTTTCTGGTGCATAGTTGTAACTATGTTACAACATATGCTGGTAAGAGCTCTTTCCAAGTTTCCACTATAATCTGGAAATCCAATAAACAGTTTGGAGAATTGCATTGCTACTTTTCTTCCTTGGGTAGAAAAGACATCAATGTTTCTGAAAACAAAGTCAAGGTCTTCATTGTGTGGAGTGAGAGAAGATGAAGAACTGTGTGCTAGAGATTGCCCTATGTCCCAACAAAAGAAATGGTCCAAGACTAACTCAGCAGAGCAGGGCAGAACAATTTTTTTTTTTTAAATTATCTAGAAAACAGCAAAAGAGGAGCAAATAACTTTTAAAGTAGATGTGCAAACTACACTCAAGTTTAGCAGCTTCGAGGTCCAAAGCCCTGCCACGGAGTTGTCCAGTTGAATCCAGGTCCCGTGATAAGGCCATTGTAACTGTGCCCACGTTCCCTGCTCTTAGAAGTATTTGTTGATCTGTGACTTGGTCTCTAAAACGCTAACTAAGATGTAATAGAGAGGAGCAGCACAACACATCTGAAGGTTACTCCGACCACCCTCAAGACTCCCCCAAAATTTATCAGCAAATAGAGCAGCTTTTGGGGCTGGAGTCCTGTCCCCTGTGTACACCCAACTGATCGTCAGAACAAAGAGTAGGAAGTTATATGGGAACGAAAGAACCTCTCAAAACACAGAGACCCAAAACTCTTCATGCCTCAGAGGCATGACAAGTATCATACCATACAGTACTACAGCCACTGATGCATTTTTGGGGTGTTTTGTTTTGCTTTAACCAAACAAAAAACCCACCTCATTTCCATCCCTTTTTAGGCTGTCTACGGCATGCACAGCCCCATTTTGAGCTAGGAGGATGAAGTAAGAGCTGCCTGAATTCTGAAGTTTGCACTGATAATGTCTGCTGCACCGTAACTGTGAAACATGAGCTTCAACTCAGTGGAATCAGAATTAACAGCTCCAGTAAATTTTCTTCAGGCAGTAGGTACCGTAGCTCTGAAAAAAGGTAGCAGGTAGCCAACTCTCAAAGGAATTCAAAGACAGAGAATCTAACCTGAGGCAGTGTTATTAACACAGTCATACAGAAATTGTAATTTGGTAGCCTGTTTGCTTTGGAGGAGCTGAAGTTGCCTTCAGGCCCTTTTAACAGAGCTTTGCATTTCTGTCAACCATTTACACACAACAATTCACACATAAGAGTGCCAGGGAAATCCAAATGTTTTAGTCTGTCTTCTTACTAGGAATATCTGTGTTAGCATACATGAGCCAGTGAAACTGTGCAAAATCCTTGGGCAGTTGAAACAAGCCTCTGAACTGGAACACGGTAATTCTTTCCAGTAGCCAGCTGTCGTTTAACAAGACAGAAGGTCCCAAGTCCAGGTGTTCTGACACCCTAGGCTACCAATGCGAAGGTATAAGATGTGGTGGGACGAAACCAGAGAGAGAACCTTGACTCCTCCACAAGGAGAATTTCATTGATGCAAAGAGATTCCTCTCCAACCCTTGAATTTCACTCAGGCCATCAATCTCAAGCACAGCAGGAGACATAGGACACTTTCACCTTCTTTAAACACAACTCTTTTCCGCTCAGACTGTTTGGTCAGTGTAACCCACTGAATAGGAAAATTAGTCAAGTGTCTCATTGCAACCACCAGCCCTGCACACCCACATACCTCAGGCCTCAAGGTTATAACAGCAATTTCTGATAGTTTGCACTCTCTATGAGACCACTGGCAAAATAGCTCTGCAAAGCCTTACCATCAGAAGCAAGCTTCTTGAGCACTGGAAACAAGAGCCCCATGATATCAGTGCTCTTGCCTTCCATCTGGGTTATACTCCTCTCTACAGTCAACAGAACGACCTTCCAGCACTATTCCCCTGCCTCCCTTCTCGTTTGGGCTGCAAAGCAGCTCAAGAGGAAGACAGCTGTGAGAGCATCAGCCACTGCCTGGCACATCCCAGCAATGGGCAGGCAGGCGAGGGGAACAGTGCTGGGCAGTGGGTCATGCCACTAGGACACAGCTCACCTGTTTTGCCTAGCCATGTGTCATAAGAGGGGCTGCAGCCTCCCCCACCAGGAGCCTCAGCCAGGCCCTGCCCTGAACTGGCTGTTTTGAGGAGCTGCCCTCTCCCCACGGAGGGCTGTGTGCCAAGGAGAACCACAACCTGCTGTTCACAAGCTGAGGCTCAGCCCGTTCATTGCAGGGTGCTGGGCCCTACAATTGCCTCTAGAGAAGGAAACTTGGCTGCAGCTTCTGGTAGTGGTGGAGTATGTTGACTCTTCCCTGACTGACTGAAGATAGTAGTTGCTATTGCATTCATTTTGCCTGTGGGGTAAAAACAAAACCAGAAAAGGTATATTTGTTTTTTCATGATACTATATGCCCTCCAGATAGTAAGAAGCATTACGCTAATTTTTCTCCTCCACATTACTCTTCATATCATAATCAGAGAAAGTTGAAGAGAAGTTAAGAATTAATCAAATACCTCCACTGCCAGTAATCCAGATCTCATCTCACTGAACATTCTGGCATTGCAAAATGCAAACCTACACCTCTGAACTGACCCCTAATGGCCTTTTCAATGCTACTCAGCATGCAGTGGGGAAAGCGTCCCAAGAGATTTCTCTTCACTACACTTTCACACAGGAACAATTAAAACAGCTACCCTGCAATCAAGCCCAAAAGTGTCTTAATGAGAAAAAGAAGGAAATACAGTTGTGCCATTTATATTATCGAGTTATATTCATGAGGACGGAAACCTTGGTTCTCTTACAGCTTAAGTACAAGCCATAAAATTATCAATGTATTCTCAGTCAGTAGCCTGATCATCCTTAAGAATGAGGTAAAGAACTTCTTTCGTTTCATGTTCTTTGTTTACAGTTCACCACCACCAGAAAACTTCATACTGCAAGTATGAAACCATGCTTCGCATCTTTCATCTTTTAATGCCTTCCATTTTAAATACAGTTGCAAAAGAGTATTTCTAAATACGCATATGCACCACCTACTTCTTGTTCTTGTATTTCAATTTAAAAGAAAAAAAGTGTAGACAAGTAGTTTTCATGGATTTTAGTTTTAAATAATTTTCAAGAGTATTATAAAAGCTACAAGGTGGTCTATTCAGACTAATCGTTTTTCCCCCCCCAGATTTTTTAGTGGAGATATTTGCTGCATCTTTCAGATAACACTCTTCAGAAAGCACTTCAAATGCTGTGATTTAAGTTTATGTTTTCCAAAAGAGAGGGTTCTGTGTCAAACGTCTCTGGAAGTTCTCATACCTAGGAGAAACAAAAGGTGTTGTAATTAGAAAGGCTTCAAAATGATACAAATCATGTAAACTGTGCAAAGAACAAGAAAAACTGCATCTATTCCACAACATGAAATGCTTTTTAAACTTACAAAGATCGATCTAAAATTCTGCTTTCCAATCCTGTATCAGGCAAATTCACAGTGAGATTTGTACGTATTTTAACAACGATACGTATTTCAATGAAAAAAAACATCTCGGAGGTAGTTTATTCAAGCTTGGCAAAAAATGTAAGCCAAATAAAAGTGGCTCTTTTCATACATAACGTGATTCAGGCTAGGAAATCAAAGTCCTGGCAGTTAGAATATGCTAGCCTAAGATTGTCTATCCTCATAGTAATCAAGCCACACATCTCCCAGAAACCAACCTAGCAAAAACAGAAGAAGAAAATCGCACTCCATTTAGGGACGTGCTGAATGACTGGGGGGAGGGGGGGGGGGGAAGGGAGCAAGGCAAAACCAGTCCAGTCTGAGTGTCCCCTTGCTATGCCCTCCAGTGCTCTTCAATCTAGCTTAGAGTCGGACGCAGCACCGTTCAGTTCACAGGGCATTGGACATGAGCTAGCAAGCTCACCAGACTCAAGCAGGCTTCAAGAGAGCACAGCCTCCACTCCCGGATGGCTTACTAGCAGGTTGTACATAACCTGCCTATAGCTAGGGGAGAGCTGACTGCAGGCAACTCTGTAGTAATTGCTATGCATCATTTTCTAATAAAAATCTAAAAAATAAGTAGTCCCTGTTATTTTATCATCCCTCACCAACTAATTCCAACTCTCACATTTATTACATAAGGAAACTTTCTCATAAAGTCTAATAAGGAAAAGTTATTCTCTGATGTATCGTAGAATCAAGTATGCACACATCCTATCCTTATTTCACTTTCCTTACCAGGAGAAAGGAGCAAAACACAAGCAAACTGAATACTAAAATTCATTATTGACCGACATGTGGTGAAAAAGGAGGGAAAACTTACAATTTATGTGTCTTCCTCTATAAATCACCTACAGGTTTTGTGCTGCGCAAGTCTAAAAAATTCTTTTCAATCCTTACAAACCCAACTGTAACATATCAAAAGGCACCACCAATGAAACACGCAAGAACAATAAGATCTCCTACATCTGCAATTTCTTCACCTAAAGGAAGTGACAGAAGAGACTCTGAAGGGTTTTAAATCCACTCAAAAACAAAAGAGGAGAAAGACCTATTTATGAATAGACTTCTAAGATAAAGTATTTCCATTGCGGCCAACCCACTACAGAGACTTAAGACACACTATATATATTATTATAAGCTATAAATGAATACATTAAAATGACTGAAACACGTGAGCAGATTCAAAAAATGGTGGGCTTTTTGGTGGCTGTGATCACATTAAGATATTTGTATATTCAAATATAAAATAGTTTCATTTATTAGAGTTATAAACACAGTAAAACTGTGTGAGGCATAGTTTTTCATGCTGAATTTGTTTGTGGTGTTTTATCCAGGGAATGAGCAGTTATTACTCTGCTTGTGTAGTCTGCCTGCCTTTCGGTTTTTGTCATCAGAGATCTTACGCACCTATGTTCGTAGAGCACTTAGGCACACAGTAATTTTGTGAAACAAAAACAACAGCAATCCTCAACGTCAAAAAAACAGATCAAGAGTTACTTTCTGTTAAGGAGAACTCTGCATCCAATTGCACAAAGCAAACCTACTGCTTTCACTAAGTACTCACAGGTCCATGCCAATGCTTACCAATGATCAAACTGTATTTAGAGAATCCAAAATATTGTTTCGAAACATGCGGTTACATTAATACTGTAGAGATGGCTAAAGAGAGCTAAACTGTAGGTAAGATTTTTTTCAGAAATTCTGAAGACTGTCTGCAGTTCACCAGACTACATGGGCTATACCCATAATGAGTAATTTCTCAAATTAGTGCCCAAAAAACAATTCTTAGAAATGTTTGCATCTGTGCTCAAGGTTTGTTGGTGGCACAATCAGGTCAGCTAGGAACATGATTTCTCCATACTTAAGCTACAAAACTATGCTGGAGCTATGTCTAGGAAGAGACCAAGCATAATAAGCACAAACTCATAGACACAGCGTGTTCTGTCTTCACAGAATCACAGAACGGTTGAGGCTGGAAGGGACCTCTGCAGATCATCTAGTCCAACCTCCCCTGCTCCAGCAGGATCCTCTAGAGCACACTGCCCAGGACCCTGTCCAAATGGCTTTAGAATATCTCCAAGGATGGAGACTCCACAACCTCTCTGGGCAACCTGTGCCAGTGCTCTGTCACCCTCACAGCAAAGAAGTTTTTCCTCAGGTTCAGATGGAACTTCCCGTCTTTCAGTTTGCGCTTGTCCCGTCACTGGGCACTATGGAAAAGGGTCAGGCCCCATCCTCTTGACACCCTCCCTTCAGATACTTCTATACATTGATCATATCCCCCCCCCGTCCCCCACTCTTCTCTTCTCCAGGCTGAACAGGCCCAGCTCCCTCAGCCTTTCCTCATCTGAGAGGTGCTCCAGCCCCTTCATCATCCTAGTAGCCCTTTGCTTGCTGGACTTGCTGCAGGAGCTCCATGTCTCTCTTGTACTGGGGAGCCCAGCACTAGACACAGTACTCCAGGTGAGTACTGTGCATGGCATTATTCCTCCCCAGCTGCAAGACTCTGCATTTCCCTTCTGAAGGGAAGGGAAGGAAGGATCCATCTCAAGAAGGATGAACTTCTTGAGATTCTTCTCTACTCAGCTCTCCAGCCAGTCCAGGTCCCTCTGAAGGGCAGCACAGCCTTCTGGTGTAACAGCCACTCCTCCCAGTTTTGTATCATCAGCAAACTGGCTGAGGAGGCACTCTGTCCTTTCATCGAGGTCATCAATGACTAAGTTGGAAAAGACTGGACCCAGTATTGACCCCGGGGGACACTGCTAGCTAGAGGCCTCTCACTAGACTTTATGCCACTGACCACTGCCTTCTGAGCTCTGCTAACCCTTTGAGCTATGCATTCAACCATGACTGAAGAAAAATTTGCAGAATCAGCAACGCACTGTAAATACCCATAAGGATTACATTTTAAAAATCAGCAAAACTTGTACACATCATATAATTCTGATTAGAAAAATACTAAGATATATATATATATATGAAGATGCTGACAAGTAAGTATAAAAACAGTGGATAGAACATCTCTATTTCAGATGAACAGCAGCAAATCAGTAACACTTCAAAATTTTTGCATCATCTCACCATATAGCACGACAGTAACCGAATACTTCGGAACTAGCTGTTTTGATGCCTAGAAAAACAACAAAACCAAAAGGTGCTTGAGATCATTTCCATTACCATTTCAGAACTACATTTGCAGGAATGAAGGCTTCAGAAGGATTTGGAGTCATCTGCGCCTGAGTAACAGCAAATGATGAAGCAAAATTATAGAAGTTATCCAACATCTTCTGAGTGAACTGAAATAAAAGAGATGTTTTAATTTTATTTTGAAGGGCTTCTTTTCCATTTAAATTTTTGTTCAAAAGTTCATCTGATACGCAACTCCCACAGGAAATAAAATTAGCATTGTTATCTTTTCAAATATAGTGGAGAAATGGATATATTGGGTCAGGGAGGTCTGTATTAAAAAGATCAAAACATCCTACCTCTGTCTTGTCCTCAGTTCTTTCTACTGTCCAGAAATAGTCTCAGAATCTTCAAATTTCCCCCTCCCTGCCTAATTTTATCCAACTGGATGAAGAGCTTTGGGAACAATATTTTCACTGATTTATCGGGAGGTCTGTTTTATCTGTGGTCTGGAGACCACATCTTGGCAAAATCTTGTGACTAACCAATGACACAGCGACAACAGCTGGTCTTCTCCTCCAAATTAAACCACTGGGAGAACTGTACATTGGGACAAAGTGGCAAAGCCCAGCTCAGAGCAAAACATTAGCTGTTAAACCAGCTGAACAGCCTGCAGCAATCTGCCTTGTTACAATTTCCACAGATGCCTGCCAACAGGAGCCAGACTCCAGCAAGAGGGAAACTTGCTTCAGCTTTTATCACAGAAGGGCTAGTACCCTGATATCCTCTGCCACATGTTTTGCTGGGAAAAACATGAGAAAGATGCACAGGAAAAACTGTGGGAAAGAGGAAGTACAAGTGATGAAAACGGACTGAGAGATTTCAGTCAAGAATCAGCAAACCTTGTGTGGGGAGGATGGGACGGCTGGAAATTCCTCCTTAGCTTACAAATAAATAAGTGTACAGTATCTCTGTCCTTCTTTCCCCTATTCACTACAGTTTAAAAAAAAAAAAGAGCAAAACAGAGTCTGGGGCAATGTATCAGCACCCTTGGATTTCTCAGCATCTACTTTGATGCAAACAGAGAGTGGGAGAAGAGAAGATGTCCTAGAACCCAAGGAGTGCATCCTCAGTCTCTTCCGTCTCACACACAAAATTCTGCTTTTCTGTCTCACTCCCTTCTTTATTTTTTATACTATAGCTATATGAAATATATCATCATAAATCTTTACAAGCCTTCTTAAAATGCCGTGGAAGAACTATTGCTTTATTTAGAATAGCGACAAATGATTTTGGCCTTAAGAGAATCTATTTTTATTGCTATAAAGTAGCAGTTCCAAACAGTTGATTTCAAGATTTGAAAAAAGCCATTAGCCATTCACAAACTGTGTTTCCACCTACATGTATCACCTATATCACCTTCCTTCCTCTTCTATCTACTCCTTCAAACATTTCCTTCAACACTTTCATAAGTTTTCTCTATAAGAGTAATTACAGAATCACAGAATCACAGAATCGTTTAGGTTGGAAGGGACCTCTGGAGATCATCTCGTCCAACCTCCCTGCTCAAGCAGGGTCACCTAGAGCATATTGCCCAGGATCACATCCAGACGGGTTTTGAATATCTCCAGCGAAGGAGACTCCACCACCCCTCTGGGCAACCTGTTCCAATGCTCTGTCACCCTCACAGTGAAGAAGTTTTTTCTCAGGTTCAGTAATTCTTATTTCAAACTCCTGGCTGAACCACATTCCTTAAAAACAATGTAAAATTTCAGTTAAAACTTTATCTTGTTTTAATAGGGAAAAATCCAGCTAGCTGGAAATAACATTTGCAAAGTGACATGTAATCATGAGGTGTCTTTTTCTTTAAACGTTATTGCTAGGAAAATCCACCAGCCTTCTTGCAAACGACTTCAAGTAGCACATTACTATAACTGGTGACCTAACTACTGCCATTATAAAAAAAAATGGTGGAATGAAAAATAACATTTAGATGTCATTTGCCCCAATAAGCACAAAAGGCTTGTTTAAACTTAAAATACAAATAGCTCTTGGTCAACTCATACTCAAGATAGGTAATGTCTCCTTTGGAGAAAGTTAATTGGCACTATAATGTGTATAAACTGTCAGAGGACATCAGCTTCATTATCAGGATTACTATTCAGTTACCAGTCTACCTCAATAAGCATCTGGATGAAAAGCAAGCAAGAAAAAAAGTGACTGAAGCAATACCTCTCCAACTTCTTATGTTAAAAGATAATGCCAGAGCCATTGATGGTTCTGGGAACATCAGCTTGATCTTAGCTTTGACCAGAAGATCAAAGCCTCGATTCAAAATACACCTACATATCAGGATTTCAAAGACACCTTCTTGCCTTTTCCAGACATAAGCATTCAAAAGAACCATACAGTGATCTGATGTGTTATGTGCAGACATCAGAATACTGCTAGGGAAATCAAGAGTTGCCATGCAGATCTAGCTTGCCTCGAGTACTGCTATTAGATGGCTGACTAACTGCTATCGCTGGCTAAGGATTTCCAGAGGCTCAAGTTAGCAAAGCTGTTGGCCTGGTCTACAGGAAAAAAAAAAAAAAAAAAAAAAACATCCTTCTGTGGCACAGTGCAACATTTTGTAATTCTGCAGAACTACATTAGAAGGATTTCTCAAGGGTCAGTGGTACCATTAAATCTCTACCTGCATCCATGCTCAAGTCTGTGTCACCATTTAAGTAATTTTTGACCATCCTTGCAAGTCTATGCCCTGAAGCTCCTATATCTACAGATCACCAGATACTAACTAAAAACACATGAGAGACAGTGGGTATCTGCTCCTATGAGGAAGCCTCATAAATATTTTTAGAGTAGAGTGACACGGATACTATAGACTTTAATGATCTGATTCCACTGAACAGGTGCAAAAACAACCTGCTGCAGGAGAAACATTCTTTCCATGCAATACAATGTCATCTTGAAACACCATAGCATCCGACCAAAGGATGAGGCAACAAGTTAAGTTGGTTACAATTTTGTAACCAACCATATCAGCTTAAAAAAAAAAAAAAAAAGTTCTTCAGGGGCTCTTAACAGACTTAATAGTACTACAGAGGATTTCTTGAAACAGAATGCCCTAGTTACCTCAGTGAATGAATCTACAGATGATACAGCAGCGTTTGCAACAGGAGTCTGTTGGGCCAAACTCTCCAGCAGTTCCACTGAGATTCCAATCTGGGCTACCGTTGGCGTCTGAGGGAGGTTCATGGCACCAAAGGGGTGTTGGCTTCCTTTCCCTGAAAGCACAACGGCACTCGTATTAGGCTTGGTACACACATAAAGATAGTGTACTTAAACACACAAGCAAGCATATACACATACAATACCTGAAATAGTGAATAAGTAAATTTAAAATACAGCAAGTCTTAAGGACTTTTCTAAGAATAGAAAGAAAGAAAAGAAAAAATAACTTTCAAGCTTCCTGTGATGGAAATTGATCCCAAGTACAATAGGAAATATGATCTATGAGTAGAAGATACAGCAATACCTTTCTTTACAGGAACAAATTATTCAATTCCTATCATAATGACTAAAAACCCCAAACACCTTTAGCACTGCTGCACAGGTTTTTGATTCACTCATTCAAATCAAGTGCTGGTGAATCTGTTTGTGCAGTGAGAATTAAAGGCTGTTCTTTGAAGCTCACTCTGACTCTAAGCTATTCCTACACCAAAGTGGGCAGACTCATGAACGATTAGAACAGCTCAAAATCACCAAATGCAGCAAAAGTCACGTCTCAATGCCCATGAAACAGAAGCGTCTCCAGCTTTGCAAAAGTCACAAACAAAAAAACAAATCAGGCAGAACATACACCCACAAACTGCAAAACTCTTATCCAGGCTTCATCTCAGCCCCTATCATCATTTCTGAACTTTCTCAACTGAGCTTTAACCAGCACTTTCAGTCCCACCTTCAGCTACAGACTCCGCAAACAACAACAATCATCTACAGTCACTGAAACTGCTCTCTCCTCTTTGTCAGTACCCAATCAGGAAAAAAAAAAAATAGGAAAAAGATCAGGGTGGAGGTCACAGTGTTATTAGCAAGTAAATATTTGTCTGAGCTGACAAAATAGGCAAATATTCTCATAACAGAAGCAATGCTTCAGCACTACTCTCCAGCCTTTTGCCAGCTGGAAAAAGCAAAGCTGGTTAAGTGCTATCCTACAGAGCTGTAAACAGTATCTTCAGCTGCAAGCAAGTCTAACTGAAATCTGAAGCACCATCTGGCTGAGTTCTTGGCCATGGAGCTAACTCATCACGAAAAGCACAAGTCTGAGGAATCAAACTCAAGTTCAAAGACTGACGATCTCAGAGATACTAGGCTCTACCATGAAGGACACCAACATCTAAGCCATACAGAAATCACACTCAAAATTCAATAGGCCTTTCAATTGAAGCAAAGTGCCAATCCTCCACGTACTCAGGAATATACCAGCTTAAAAGCCCTTCCGCATCACCTTTCTTTTCTATTCCCATTAGATTTAGTCTGCCAAATCAATTCCAAGAAAATAATAATTCGTTCAATTCATGAGAGAGGCACTAACATTTTAACATTAATGTAAACGTAGAACAGAATATGTTGAACATTAAAAACAAACCCCCACACAAACAATAAAAAAAAGGCAAAAACTGTTAGCGATATCCTAGTGCCTTACACTAGAAGCCTACTGTGCTCTTCTCCTTCACCTCAGATATAAAATTCATACTAGTTAGAAAGTCTTTGCATTCTGATCTCACTTTCCTTAATACAGTCCACATCTTAGAACTGAAACATAGTGGCACTTTACAAGTAAAGCACTCACTGTTCTATTAAAACATTACTTTAACACAAGGGCCAGTAAGAAGAATTAGTCTCCTAAAACACTATTTAGAAGCTCTTTTGAGGAATGCTATTATTGCTATTTGAGCTCAGTCCATACAATGCATAGATGCTTGCTTTATAAAGTTAGAATTTATAGAAGCATTAAAAACAAACAAAAAAGCTATCAGAAACCAGGATGACTAAATGCCACGTTTAAGTTCATTAGAAATACTAATATAAAACTTATACCAACTGTATTGCTATTTTCCAACACATTCACCTGAGAAACTGACACTTACAATAAAAACCTAACACCCTCAAGCAACAAGCTTCATCAGAAAACATCACTACTTCAGAAAGACCTAACTAATTAAAGTACATCTATTCTGTCACTTTGCATGCAAGGATGACACCTCCTGAGACCAATAGCCTCTGCAAGCACTGCCCCAGCAATATAGATACTTAGCACTGCTTTCCCATGGAACCACTCTCCTGGAGAGGTATCCACCTAAAAGGATCAGAGAAAAACATCCCCTGTCATCTTTATATCAACTGTGTACTCCACATTTTGAATGTTACCTCTTACAATTCGCATTTCAAACCTTATGAATGCAAAGAACACAATGTGTTAACGTACGGAAACACAGACTGAGGTTTTGGCATTCAGATCCTGCACTCTCCAAGATACTACGTCACAACCAGAGTAAAGAGCAATCAGAAAAATATTTTAATTTTCTCCTCTTTCCTTTCATGCAATTTTGAGTCAAAATACTCACACTCCAATACCTTTCAGCACAACGTTGTCAGAAAACCCTACCTATTCGCATTCCTCAAATGCAGACATTATTTAACTGGGTATATTTGTGAGTGGGAAACAGAAGATCACACATATAACCACGTGCTGGGCAGCAAACAAAGTTTGGAACGCAGAAGGCTATCCTATAACTTTATCCCACTTGTCAATACACTCCCAGTAAGACTGCACGTAGCCTAAAAGCTATGCTTTACAATTCTTCCACACTTCCAGTCACAATTAAGAAAAACTTCGCAATTGTGAGGTAAAAAGTGTTTCTAGCTCCTTCTCCATAAGCAGTCAAATGGAACTCATCTACATTTGATTAGCAAAATAGCACATAAAACAGCCACAGAAGAACGTATAACCACATTCACTGAAACACTACCAGATATTATACTGTAGGGAAACAGTTCGGGCCTAGAGGAGAGGCTGATACAAATGAGGGCTGTGCTGCCATTCACAGAGACCTTGACAGGCTGGAGAAAAGCACAGAGCAGAACCTCAAGAACTTCTCAAACCAGTTTTTCGTGTTGTTGCCCTACTCACCCTGAAGAAGAGTATTTCGCAAAAGTCATTCCCCCGTTTTAGCTCATGTACCAAAGCAACCTTGGTGACACTACAATGTTTGAGGGCAGTGACTTTCTTAAGGGAGTGCGGGAGAGGGGGAAGGAGGGAAGAAAACTAAACAAGCTGTGACAATGCCATTCCACTTGATCTGCAGAATTCTTAAATATAGAATGTGTAGTTGTAGTATTCTTACAGCAGAATCAGTCATTACATTGATTGGCAACGGGGGCAAGTCGCACATATAGCAAAACCTGTAGAGCACCAGAGAATTCTAGGCAGAAAGCATAAACTTCACACGTGCGTAAGAAACTCTACACTTAACCTCTCACAACTTACCTACAATAAAATGCTAGGCCCCTTCAGCTGACCACATCTGCCCACTTCAGAAACACTGCAGCCCTCCTCTCTTCATCACACAGCAAGAAAGAGAAACTCTGCTATAACCACTGCTTCACAGGGAACTTACAGTTAGTGCCACAGTTTGCCAAAAATATGAATTCATTCTGCTCAACATGGGATTAAGTTTAGCGCTCTGCAGTATTTTGACTCGGCAGCACAATAATTAATATAACATCCAGCAAGCAAGCTAATGTCACAATATATATGCAGAGCCATTTTATAAAAAAATTAAACAAAGCTTATTCTGTCATTTTTAATGCACATAATCTTAAGTAACAAAAAGTTGACTTATTTCAGATACTCCTACAACTTCTCCCCAACTATTCTAGCTTGTAAAAGGAACAGACACACATTTATTACTACGTCCTTTTTTTCCTCCCAAAAGCAAAAGTCACAAACTTAGTTCTGCTATTAATTGGCAGATTACCTCTTAGATTTATTATTTTAGCCTGAGCTTTCCATGTTAGAAACATCTGCCCAACCTCCATGCTTCTCGTAAGACTCACTTAAAGGTTTACTTGCCATATCCCTTCAAAAAAAGTGACAATGCTGAAAATACATTTCCACCTTGACAACTGAGCTACTCACCTCGAAACTACTGCTTTAACTGAATAGATCCATGCTAGAAACATAATCCCTTGCCACTTCCTACACAATAAAACTCAAGTTCAACTTCCTTATTCATTCTCTTCATGGACTAGCACTGCTGCCTACTAGTGAAAATAGATACTCTGAATCAGGAGACATCCTAGCACCCCATCCACTTGATGAGGACATGCCACTGACAAATGTCACGTGCAAGAAATTAACCTCAGACATTCAAATGCAAAACAAATTTCCACAGGACGGTTCCTACTTTCTAAGATCACTCCCTCTGGTCTCCCCTTTCTACACTGTAATCTCCATCAGACAATTCTTTATAGCATGGAAACTAAGGCTGTGCAGCTTATAATGACTCTGAACCAGACAACCAGTAGAAAACAACAGGAAAGGTAAGAGCTCTCTTCTTCAGACAAAACACAGCACTGCCACATGGCACAACCAATCCACTCAACTATGTTACAGAATTGTTCCTCAAATGTAGCCCTTTGCAACTTTTCTGTTTCCAGCAGCAACTGTCTCAACGTTCCAACAAAATCAGAGATGAAAAATAATTTAGAGAAAATTCAAGGGACTGGAGCCACATTTACAAGATATAGGATTATATAAAATAAAGCAAGTCAACATTCACATGGAAGTAATGCCTAAAGGTGCTATTCTTTAGAACTCCACTAATCTGAAAATATTTTTTTGCTACAAAGCTCTCTGAAGACACACAAAGTCTACCACAAGAAAAAAAAAATGGGGAAAGAAAGCAGGTGCTACCCTTTAGTCCATTTCGCTCACTACACAAGTTCGGGACATACAAAAACACATAAAAAAATAAATCAACTTGTTGCTGTTACATGTTCTACGAAGGCCCCAAACTTCTAGCTAACGTACATGATCAGGATTTCCTGCACCTGGAAAGCCTTTACCTCATGTCAGGTTATTATCCACGACTCATTCAAAAGAAAGCATGCCACCTACTGAATTAATGCATTTCCTCACAGGATCTTCAATAGAGATCTAAATAGAAATTAAAGTTAAGTTTGTAATCCACACTTGAACCTATAAAAGATGTGTATTACTTTATCACCATAGGACTACAAACTGTATGACTGACATACCCATTCTTTTACTAGATGAAAAGCATGCCTTTGGGATGCTTCGTCATTTTCATAGTGTGCATGGAAAAACCACTCACATAGTTAGAAAAAAAAAAAAATCCACTTCACGTAGCACTAGCTTCTTCTGACTCCGGTATCTTCACTCGGGCATAGAGCAAGAATAAAATTATTTGGAAAACTGCTTTCCAATGATGGTATCCTGAACTGAAACATTACATAGTGCACAGCACCTGGACTAGAAGAATATGGCTTTCCAAAGTCATCGTTACAAACTTTACTCATTAGAAAAGGCAGCTCTGTGCTACAGCAAATACAATGCCTTGACAACAGGAGCTACAAGAAAATATTGCAGGCGTTTCCAGCCAAATGCCTAAAACCATGCTAAGGAAGATGCACGGTCATTCTTCCTCAGCTTCCTGATACAGAAGCACTGCAACTTGTATGCCAACACTGTTAAAACGAAGTTCCAAATCAACGCTGCGGACAAGGGAAAATGAGTGAGAAACTCTTCTAGGAGCATTAATACACAGACAGACTTCCACAGAGCCCACCAACCACTCCTCACGTCTCCTACCGACTGTCAGGAAATACACAGCAATCTAACTTTCCAAGGAGCCCTTGGATCAACAACACTTCTCAACAGTTACTCCCTCATGCATGCAGCAACATGCCCGTTCCACTGACTGCTACGTTTTACTAATCTTACCAGACTTGAGACCAGAAATTTTGAAGATGGCACTCGGCTTCTCATTAGTGACAAACCCAAGCAGCTGCCACACTGCCATCCCACTCTGGTCCGGATAACAAAAATAGACAGATCCTCCCATTCCTTCGGGAAATGGCAGAGTTCCCAACATAAACACCACAACGTGGTTGATGTTTTCATAGTCCGGTAAGTCAAAGACAAATTTGTCCTCAGCCACTTGTTGAGGAGCTGCTTGCACCTAGGGAATAAAAAAAAAAAAAAAAAAAAAGTGTTTGTAAAGATTTTGTTCTCTTTCTTTCGACTGTAACCATGAGCTTCCCTTTTCAGAATTGCGTCCAAGGTGGAACACAACAAGACGTGAGGAAGGCACTAACCTAAGTAGCAAACATTCAGATGAAAGGCCAACTGTCCAATCACGCAAAAGGCTGCTACAAAGGAATCACAAGCCCTCACTAGCTACACTGATTGCACATCCCACCCAGGACTACACCATCAGAATACCTTGGCTCCTCATCTGCCTAGGAGGAAGACAGCACGCAGCAGAGCTTGCTAAGTCTGTCAACTGTGGCTGCTGACCACCTGGCTGCCACAACCCCAGCAACCATGGACACCTGTTCACATAAGAAACACAAGAGGCCTTCAGACAGGTAGTACAAGGACGGCTAAATGCCAGAGCACAAAGAAACCCTCCTCTTCGCCCCGGGTGCCATATCCATGCAACCAATGTACAGCCTTGCCTTAAAAAGTATCTTTTCAGCTCCCAGCTTGCCAGAAGCTGACTCAGGAGCTCGAAGCCCTGTTTTAAGGGAGAGGAGGGCGACTGCCTCCAGGCAGGAGGCCAGCAACGAGGCTCCCGCTGCTGGCTCCTGTCTTTTGCGGGACAAAAGGCAGGAGCCAGCAGACGCATGACGGGGGTGGCAGCGTCCCCTCGGCCTGGGGCCCGCCCCGGGAGGGGGCCGGGGGG